GGGACGCAGGACTCAGGCAGCCCAAAGAACATATAGGGCTCAGCCAGGCTGGAAGCAAGACCCAGTAGTAGCAGCAGCCCCTAAGAAGATTGCCAGCCGATACTACCAGCTCAAAACGGGCCACGCAGCCATAGGAACCTACCTGCGAAAGATTCAGGCACAGGAAACAGAGGCATGCCAGGGATGCCAGGCCCCAAAAGAGTCAGTTTACCATCTCCTCTTTGAATGTAGGCAGTGGCGGAGGCAGCGAGAGACCTTATATCAAGGTCTCACTAAGACTGGGATTGCCAGACCAACAATGGCAGAGGCGTATCCGGAAGGAAGGCTGTTTGGGAACCCCAAAGCCTCACGAGCCCTGCTGCAGTTCCTAGCAGATACCACCATAGGTTGCCCCCGGGGGGACCAGGCACGGGCAGTGGATAGGGCTCATAGGGATGATGAATGGGGGCTGGAGGCCTTAGAGGAGGCAGAACGAGAGGGGGAGGGATAATAGGGGAGGGTGGCCTGCAGCAGGCAGGTGACACCCATACAGCGATAACACCAAGGAGGGCATACATAATGCCCAAAAGCCCTGCACGGTAAGGTGGTTTGGGGCGAGGAAAAGGTCTAGAATGGTCAAAGATAAGGTTAGAGACTAGATAGGGGCTGTGGCCCATGATTCGGGGTCTATCATAGCCGAAAGGCTCGGTATGGACGTTAAACTTGATTAATAATAATAATATTACCCTCACCAATGATTACCTATACTAGTATCATAGTTGTCTATCCGACGACTAAGTACCGTCCAGAATCTGAGCCATCTTTCTCTAATCCCTTGTTCAACTCCAGGCCGAGAAATGACCACTACTGCACGAATGGTCGACTAAACATTGCTTAGAGATTATATTTTGTGGGCTTCTAGAAATAAGATTGGTTTCAGTCTCGATCAACTGTGACTATTCTCTGATACAAAAATGCATATATAAAATCTCTTCATCTTGATGAATGAGAAGAATTTCTAGGTGACCTAGAGGATGCATTTCCGGGAACATAAGCGAGTTCACCGTCAATATTTTTGTCTAGCTCAAATACACAAAAGATGATTCACAATCTGGCCGTCCTCGTACTTAGCAACCCTTGCTGCCCTCCACATGTTTTTCAACTATCTTGCCATCTCTGACAACAAATATGATATCCGGATTGGCTGCACAGGATCTCCTTTGACAGTGCTCCATCACAAGCTATGTGTCTTTGCATTGCAGTAGACAGCAGTCTGGCCGAACATGTGTTAGTATTGCGTGAGTTAATACCACAGCTTGAGCTGCCAGTATCAATGAATGGCAGTCACTGATGTTCTCCATTGCCCAATGTTTGAGAATTGCTGGTTCCCTGTGGCTTGTTTTGCTTCACCCACTCCTCCGCATCCCTGACTGCATTCTCTGGACATGTCTTGTACTGCATCAGGTACCCCTGGATATCTGCAGGAGGATAACTTTCTGGTGGAATTATTCGGGAGAACTTCTCTGCAAGTTCCGCTAACTGCTGATCAGAATCCTTCTCGCTGCTTGGCGCAAAGTTCATGAGGAACATGTCCTGAATTTGACTGGAGCTTGCAAGGCCCATTTCGATCTTCACATCAACACGTCCTTTCCGAGTAAGAGCCGGGTCCAGCCGTTCCGGGTGGTTTGTTGTCATAATCACTATTCTAGCCTCAGGAGCGCCGATTCCGTCGATCACATTCAACAGGCACGAGAGGGATATTCTGCTTCCTTCTCTTGGGTTGTCACCCTCCCTCTGTCCTGACTCTTCCCTTGATATGCCAGCGGCATCGATGTCTTCTAGGAGTAAAATAGATCCTGGACGAGTCTTTGCCGAAAGTCTCATGAAGTCGTTTTCACTGAGACTTTCATCTTTCAACGACACGCGGTAGATGCAAAGATTGAAATGCGTTGCAGTGGCTGCGACCAAAGAGGTTTTCCCTGTTCCAGGCGGGCCCGAAAAGAGAAATCCCATACGGTATGGAATACATCTTTCAGTATACCACTTAAGGGAATCTGGAGCAAAGAATTCTTCCAGACTCTTGAGAAATTTTTCCCGATCATCAATCTTCATTACCACCGTGTTCAGCCTCCGAGCCGGGACCAAGTTCACTTCCACCCATGGTGGAAGGTGAGACCACTTTCGTTCCTCCTTGGGCCGTGGACTGTATATTGGGACAAAGCTTTTAATGCTAGAAGCATATTCGCGTTCAGCTTCCTCCAAGAGGTTTATTATCGGTTGTCGTGACGGCCAGAGGACGACCACAGTCAGGCTTGATGACTCCTGACTGGTCTCACCATCCATATCTTTCCGATACAGATAGAAAACATGGCCTCGGTGCCAAAACAGGCGAGACTTTGTGTGAGGTTGGAATTTAAACTTTGTGTTCTTGTCTGGACGGCCATAGTCGAAATCCCACGTTGCAGAAGATGACCCCTGCAAGCGGCCATCATGGAGGCTGTCGACATTTTTTTCCATCCACTTCGATAAATGCTTGTATGAATCATCGGTTCCATCAATTTCGACCGAGGTCATCAGATACCTGCGTAAAGAGAGGATCCAAGAGATTTTGCCCGAAAAAGCACCTAAGATTCCTAGAGCCCAGAGCAATGTTTTTAGATCGAGGGAAGCAATGTGCCGGTGCAAACCGGCTACTGTATAACGACCAACTTTCATAATTTTTGTCGAGAAGGATGACTTTGTCTAAAAGTTTAGTGGCGGTCCTAGGCTAGATTAAGGGCTTTGGAAGAAAAAGTGGTGAACAACAGAATATCAAGCTGAGCTTGCTGGTGATGTTTTCGCGCATATGCTTGTTGATTACTTAAAGATTGGCAAAGCCTAGAGATTTTTAGCCTGGAAGAAACCTGTCCCTGGATTTATGGAGCTTTGGAGCCTGGGCCCTGTTGTAGAGACATGGCAAGACGACCCCAGCTTCATAGATTGGACACCAGTTTTGAGGGGTCCCAACAGATTATGCACACTAGTGACCTAAAACTTGAACTGAGAGGCTTAGAGGAGAGGCAGATAACATTGTCAGGGATGGCACATCAGATGGGAGTCCCACCTGCTTAACCAGGGTATAATGCATTGGGTGTTGATCAAGTAGTCAACGAACAAGGTTTCTGAAAGCAGCTTCCCGGCGGTCTGTTACATTTCCGCTAATGGCCCCAGGGCGCATTAGTGCCGTTTATTTTAAATAATGGTCATAGAAGGCGTCAGCGGGGCTCACATAGCTCATGCTCAGGGAACGCCCATGTACCCGGAGATGTACATACGGAACCATCGTGTCCCGATACAGGCTCGAGTTGCACTGCTCCGACTGGGGTGGAGTTGACACCGGCAAGTTCTCCTGCAGGACTGCAGGCCAATGTCATCAATGGGAGGCTATTAGCTGTTTGTTGGATAACTCTCAAAAATTGAAGATAGCTACAGCCGTTATTTCATTTTCCACTACATAGAGATGCAGAGAAATTTCCCGCATGACCCTGCTGACAGGTGCTAATAAAAAGATTCTGACAGCATTGCATTAGTCTTTATAGCTGGAGGACTTATAATATGACGAATGTATACTATGATTCCTTTAGCTGACTTTCTGGTTTCGTTCAGTTCATCAATTGGATCATAGATGACAGGATGTAAGACTGCAAAAACACTCTACGGGTTTTTGTGCATGTAGATTTGGCCTATCAGAACTGACGAAAATATCGCAAACAGATATATGACTTGGTAACTTCTTATGTACCCGCCATGGGGGTGTCGTTTGATGATAATGCTTCAGGCCTCGACAGACCCTCCAGCGGGTTGTGTTCTCGGGCTGCGTTGTCGAGTTCGTACGCGAACAGTGTGGGCGAGAACACCTTCTGTTCGGAATCATACCTGATCCAGCGTTTGAACTGGGACGAACTTTTAATATGGACATTGACACTGGCAGCAGATTCAAAACTTACACTTGCAATGCGCACTCCTAGCCACAAACACCGACGAGTGCGGGACACCACCACCGACGGCAGCTCGATCGATCGTTCCTCTTTGTCTGCCATCACATCGAAGAAGTGTTCCGGGTAGTAAAGTTGACTCCACGCCTGGCCGCGGATCAAGAAATCCTCCGGCAACTGCCTGGACGATCCAGTCTCGTCGCTCGGGAACTGCTCGTCCTCAACCTTGGACATGTCCATATCAGGCTGCACCAATGTATCAAGAAACGAAGCAATCTGCACCCAGGGAACATCCGCTTCAATGTAAGTCATGCTCGTCGGGACCAACGCCATACTCCAAAGAAAAGCCAACGACAGATGCACACTTGGGAGCACATTCTTATCGCCAATGCGTCCAAGAATAATTCGTAACGTGGAGGATGCCAGATGTGAGGCAAAGGAGAGCACCTGAATAGAGCTGCTGAACTGGTCATCTTCTGATCTTGGCCCATCCCGCTGAGAGAGCACATCCTGCTCGAGAGACAAATGGCTTTCCCAGAATCTCCGGGAAGACTCAAATCGCGCTTGAGATGGAGTCTCTTGGAGAACCTCCGGGTCAAGCATGCGTGGGATAATGGCGTCAGACTGGCCAAAGTCGAAGATTGCCGCATAATTTGACGAGGCGATGTAAACTCCTTGTTCGCGGAAGACAGCGCCTATCCGGCCCATGTATTTATCTAAACTAGACAGAAACTGATCCGCAGAGAGAAGAAACGAGTTGATTTTGCCTCTTGTGAAAAGAAAGCCATGGGCGCAGACAAATGCGGTCAGAAGAGGGGGGTAGCGACCGCTCACCGGCCTCGCAGGATCCAAAAGCGGGTTGAAAAGGAGAAGAATGCTCTCCCGGGTACTCAAGAAAGGCTGAATGCTGATCAAAGACTTTGAGTAGTAGAAGAGTTCTTGGAGGAAATAAGGCCTTGCCAGAATCGCCAAGTGATGCTGGATCCGACCAATTCCGGGGTTCTTATCGGCCACCTTATTATACCAATATCGAGCCACTCCAGACCAGACTTCGCGATGCCGCATATTGTTTCCTTCGATGGCCATCCGGTATCGGGCTAGATCGCCCAGGCACTCCATCCACATCGCTTCGTGCGAAGGCACACTTTCCAGAAGTAACGTTATCATGGGGTAGGCGATGTGGATGAAGTTGAGCATATGGTCTAGCCAGCCGGGAAGTTGATTGCGGAGCAGCTCCAGGAACGAATGGATGCCATATCGCCACATACGAGCGGGCATGGCATACTTCTCCGCTAATTTCCTCAGCACTGTGCTGGCGGCTGGGTGATTGGAGGCGAGGAAGAAGTCATGATGCTCGTGAAGCAATGTTCGATGCAGGGCAATCAGCGCTTGCCATTGGGCATTGGTCAACTCCTCCTTGCTCTCGACTGCTGGCGATCGATCTCGATGC